ACTGTTTTATGTATATGTTTGATTACATACAGCCTTGTGACAGTTTTCCTGCATGTCATAAGCATTTGAATATAAATTAAAATGTTAAAATCAAATCTGATATTGTTTTACCTTTTATTTGGTGTGTGGAAGGTGTGCGGAAGAGGGGGTAGTCTTATACGGCGAATATATAACAAACTCTGTATTTTGAGTGGAAATGTTAGGGGGTCGTCTTATACGCCCAGTCGTCTTATACGCCGGCAAATACGGTATATATTTAAATATATTTTATTGATGAGGAAGGGAGAGAGACAGAGAGTCAGAAACATTGATGAGAGAGAAACATCGATCAGCTGCCTCCTGCACATCCCCCACTGAGGATATGCCCGCAAGCAAGGCACACGTCCCCGGCCGGAACCGAACCCAGGACCCCCCAGTCCGCAGGCCAACGCTCTATCCACTGAGCCAAACCGGCTTCAGCTAAAATATATTTTTATTGATTTCAGGGAGGAAGGGAGAGATAGAAACATCAATGATGAGAGAGAATCCTTGATTGGCTGCCTCCTGCACCCCCCACATTGGGGATTGAACTCGCAACCTGGGCATGTGCCCTAACCAGGAATCGAACCTCGACCTCCTGGTTCATAGGTTGATGCTCACTAAGCCACACCAGCCGGGCTGATTTTTAAGAAATTTTTGAGTTACTTCTATTTTTCAAATATTAAAATATTTTTATTAAATTGAAACCATTTTATATACAAACAAAAAGAAATCAAACATATATACAAATTTCTATGCTTTTTCCCTCTTTCCCAGACATATCCATTGTTAAAGGATCTGTTTTTATGTGCCCATATGACAAACACATGTAATTGATAATTTGCTATCAGCTGAAATATTATTTAAATGATGTGAAAGAAAACAGAAGCATTTTCCACAGATGAACCTATTGACTAAAAATGTTTTTAGTTTTGTCTTTTTCCAATCTTGACAACGTTTAATACTGCAACGACAATACTATATGTTGTAATTTATGTTCTACTTTTTTTATTGTAGTAAAATATACATGACATAAAATTTACTATTTCAACATTTTAAAATGTATAGTTCTTTGGCATTAAGTACATTCACCATGTTGTGCAACTATCAGCACTATCCATCTCTAAAACTTTTTCATCTTCCATAACATATACTGTTAAAAAATGAAACATTTTTGTATGTACTTTTCCTTGAGGCTGAAATATTCGTATTAATAATAATTAATGGATAGATAACATTCATCATTTATGTGCTATACTGGACCGAAGGTGTTAGGCTGTTGCCAGTTTCTTATGGTTATTAATACAGGTTGTAGTCACAGTTGAACATGTAGCTTTTGTTCTTTAGTATAAATTTCTAGAAGAATATTGCTTCCCCAGAGGGTACATTAGTCTTCTGGAACTGCAAAAATGAAATACCACAGACTGGGTGGCTTAAACTAGAGAAATTTGATTTTCTGAGATCATTTGTTTTCTCACAGTTCCGGAGGCTGGAAGTCCAAGATCAAGGTGTCAGCAGGTGTAATTTCTCCCGAGGCTTCTCTCCCTTGGTGTGTACATGCTGCCCTCTTGCTGTGTCTTCACCTAGTTCTATGACTGTGTGCATGCATCTCTGGTGCTTCTTCCCCTCCTTATAGTGACACAAGTCTTATAGGACTAGGGTGCCACCCTTATGACCTCATTTAACCTTACTTATCTCTTCTAAGGACCTATCTCCAAAGTCTGTTAGGCTTCATCAACTGAATTTTGGGAGTACACAATTGAGTTCATAACAGAGAATATGAATGTTTTGTGTCTCTTTTTTTGAACTTTCAAATAGTTCTGTTTTATCAGGTTTTATGCCAGTTTAAATAACAGTAAATAAAAATATCACCCATCACAACTTCTGCCACTGTCACACTTGCTGTGAAATTTATTCAAGAAATCAAATCTTCTGAGGGGAATTTATCTCATGAAATGTATGAACTCTAGTGGGTAGCCTCTAAACTTTCCCCATTTTCTTATTGAATAAATTATTTACAAAATATCTTTGGATGGATGGAAACAAATTTTAAATTAAACCTTATCTCATACCTTGTTTGAGAGAATACAAATTGTTATAAATCTTATGGAGGTCAATTTAGCAATACTGATTAAAATCAAAGAATCATAAAATCTGGATTCTGGAAATCTATCTGAAAGCTATAGTTGTACATGTATGAAGTAATAAATAGGGAAGGTGATTTGTAACAGCAAAAGTTTGGAACAAACACTCCAAATGTCCACTAATTAACAGGTGCTTGATTAAATGGAACGTGGTACATCCACACAGTACATTCTTAATGTCTGTAAACATGAATGAGGAAGCTTTCCATATACAGAGATGGAAGGCTCTCAGGCATTTACTAATTATACAGAAGGAGGTGTGCCTATAAGCATGTGTATATTCACATGAAGAAACACTGGAAACACATAGGAAACTAATCAAAGTTGGTTACTTGAAGGTAGGCATTGGGACTTGGGAATAAGGCTCTTTATATTTCTTGATTTGGGAATAATGTGAATATATTGCTGTTACAGTAAAATAAAATGTGTGATCATGTTTTGATTTTTTTTTTGTAAGTCCCAATGTGCCTTTTATTCTACCTTGCTTTTTTGGAAATTTTGGCTTTGTTTACAGTATGTGGTTGTTCACCAGGTATGTTAGGGAGTATAACATACATACAGTCACCATGTCCCATTGCTCTCAAGTACATAGAAGAGAGTATAATTGTAAAGCAGGTTTCTCAGACTAGTTTTTTAAAACATAATTTATGCCTTGGCTTATGATGATTAAAACACTCATACATAATTGCAAATGAGAAACCTTTTAAATGTAAAACAGTCTGCATAAGTAGGTGTTTTGTGCCCATGGTCCAAAGACCAAACATTGAAAATCTTTAAATTAAAGAATTTGTGGCCCTGGCCATTGTGGCTCAGTTGGTTGAGTATCATCCTATGCACTGAGAAGTTGCAGGTTCGATTCCTGGTTACAGCACATGCCCAGGTTGTGGACTCGATCCTCACTCAGGGTGCCTGCAGGAGGCAGCCGATCAATGTTTCTCTCTCA